ATTCAGTGACTGGGGTAATATGGATGGGTGTGTCAGAGACAGTGCAATTGGCACAGGACAGAGCAGGGTTTAGGGCTGTTGTGCATGGGGTCGCTATGAGTCGCAAGCGACTCGATGGCACATAACAACAACAAACAACATAGGTGATTGTGCCAGTGTACATTATTGTCGTTGTCGTTGATTGCCTTCAAGTCAAGCATGACTCATAGTGACCCTATGAACAAAAGGCTGGAAGCCCCTCTACAACATCGACATTTGTCAAAGTTCATAGAGTTTCTGGAGGCATGTTGTTTAGGAAGTAGATGACACTCCTGCTTCCAAAGTGTGCATTAGTAAATAAACATTTTCTCCACTGTGCTGAAATTTAACCTCTGCCACATGTTGTGTGCCTAGGTTGCTTACTCTCAGAAGCTCTTGCTGTGCATTGAATTACATGTGGGGCTGTTGACTTAAAGCTGACAGTTCGAATCCACCAACTGCTCCTTGGGAGAAAGATGAGGCAGACATCTCCTATTAGGACTTAAAACCTTGGAGACTCAGTAAAGGGTCACCATGAGGCAGAATTGACTTGAAGGCAGTGGGTTTGTTTTCATCCTGGAAAATTCTGTCTTCATACTTGTCTGTTCTTGCCTGGCTCCTGTGAGGCAGAGGTAGAACCAGTGGTGGATACAGGAGCAGGAGGGAGTGGTGGAGGGTCCTGACAAAAGATAAGATCAGCTACAGAGTCAGGCCGTGGTCATATGGCCGTAGTGGTGTAGACTGAAGGTGAGGATATAGTCGAACATGAGGTGGTATAGTTGATGAGAAGGTCAGTTGATGTAGACAGAAGACGAGGTAGTGTAGATGGAAGGTGAAGTGGTGTCAACTGAGGGGGTGTTGGTGTAGTTGAAGATAAGATGATGTAGAGTGAAAATCATGTGGTGTAGTTGAAGATGAAGAGGCATACAATGAAGGTCAGTTGGTGTCAGTAGACTGAAGGTGAGGTGTTGTAGATTAAATGTGATGTGATGTAGACTGAAGGTAGGGTGGTGGAAACATAAGGTGAAGTAGTGTAGACCAAACATGAGATGGTGTAGACCTAAGGTGAGGTGGTGTAGAC